TCCCACTATATTTGTCTACTTTCATTTTTGCACACCATCCAATACACTTCTTTAATCCATTTTATCTTGTAATTTGTATATTAAAAAATTATAGAAATTATATATTAATAATCTATATGTTAAGACAAATCAAACAAAATCACGCATGACTATATTTAGGCTTACACATTGAGAGAATTTGATGAGACAAAGTGCTTAGATGAACAGTTCCAAAAGTCAAAAGTGGACGAATATAGCGGGACGGAGGGAGTATATGCTTATTGAACTTGAGTTTTTTCTCTATCTTTTCCGATGTCTCAAAATAAGTCGAAACTTTCACACATACACACACAACAGGCGTTGGCAGCTCAATTTTTTGTAGCCAACTTAACGCAAAGTATATATATGTAGCTCATATTGCCACGTCCAAATAACCAGAAAGAATTGTACCCGTATCGAACCTTCTATGATACCAATATACCATCTAAAAATTCAATGAAAAAAAACTCCTTAGATAACAGTAAAAAACTACGAAAATACTAAAATGTGAGTTCTAAGTCTTTTAATACGAAAATAGAAGTTTACATTGTCATTGTTACATTGACCACATTGTCACATTTCAACTACCACACTATTATAACTACACTGTCAGTTGTCACTGTCGGCCATTAGAGATTTAGAGTGCTGCCGTGGACTGCCGATAGGTGAGTGATCATCACCAGTGGCGGAGCCAGGTATTGGGGAGAGTGGGGTCAAAGTGTAAACAAAAAATTACAAGAAATAGTTTATTAAAAATTTAACATGCCAAGAGGGCAGGGGTTCGAACTCAGGTTTGGTGAGACTGATTTGCATGTCTTGAACCAAGTCAGCTAGGCCAAACAATAATTAAAGTAATACATACGTAGTATATATTTACTTATCATGTGGCTCCGCCACTGGTGGTCACACTTCTATATAATATTCTTATCACTTTTTCCATCACATTGCCAATGCGTATTATTACATTACATTGTCACTATATTCTTATTTTAGTCTTAAAAGACTTAAAACTCATATTTTGGTATAATCATATTTTTTACTTCTATCAAGAGTGATTTCTTAAATTCTAGTGGTCCGAGAACAACGGACTGAGTGTCTGGTAAAATTGACAACTTACATATAAAATCAAAATTTATTTTTTCTAACCCAAAAACTTAAGTTTATATAAATTATAAGTAGAGTTTCACCCAATTACCTCAATTCATCCCCTTTGCAAATCCCTAATTTAAAGAACCTCTAGTCAACAAAAAACGGATCGTAGTACTCCGTAATTAAGTCTTCCCACACTCTTGTCTTATTTTAAATGTGAGATTTAACTTTTTCATGCACCTTGCTAGTACAAAGTGCCACTTGTAGCCTACTTTCCGGATTGGATTCACCGTCTAATTTCATTATTCTGGTTATCAAAAATACATTTTATTGTTATTTCTTGTTTTATTTTAAGGAATAAAATCTGTTTTAAATTTTTGTATTACTATCTAAAAAAAATTGGCATGGGTTAAAATTAAACTCAATCAATCTCGGTTATTCTTAATGGGACGATGAATTTGGGAGGGAGGAACTATTATACGTAGTATTTTCTAAGGTGTCACACTAAAAATGTATTTCAAGCTTTAAGCTCCATCTATATATCTGTTAGGAAAAGATAATGGATGAAATCTTTCAAAAATTTGAAGAACTTAATTAAGTAAAATATGCATTAAATAGGACTAAAACATAATGACTTTCCCAATGTAGGACTTAAACTTTTTTATTCCCTAAATAGGACTTAATAATGACCTAGTGAGAGGAATAATGTCTAGTAATGATGAACATTTACTTGAATAATGACTACTTGATAATGACCAAAAGTCCTAAATTGGGAAATAAAAACATATGGTCCTATATTGGGAAAATCATTATGTTTAAGTCCTATTTAGGTAATTTTCTCCTTAATTAATACGGAGTACATTTCAACCAAAATTACCTGAATCAAAATGTTCTTGCTTTGCTAGCTAGATACTCCCTATTATTAGAAGAAAATGAGAGTTGACTATCTAGAAAAAGTCAAAACTAGACAAATATTTAGGAGTAACGTAGTACTACGCAAATAGCTGGCAAAAAATTACCCAACCTGTTTTGACCAAAAACCCGACCCAAAAATTAGATAGTAATACTTTTGACCCATTTACTTTTGCTTCTCGTCTTCACCGACGAAAATTAAAAATAAAATAACGTCTCTTTCACAGAAGGAAACTATAAAAAAACTCCGCCAATTCTCTGAAAATCAGTGTCTCTTCTCCACCGAAAGGAACTATAAAAATATATTCCACCGATGCTCTCTCTTAATTGAGATCCAAAATTGCAAAATTGAGATCCAAAGTTGAGAAGTGTCGCCTCTTCTTCACCAAACAAAAGCCCGACCCAAAAATTAGATAGTAATACTTTTGACCCATTTACTTTTGCTTCTCGTCTTCACCGACGAAAATTAAAAATAAAATAACGTCTCTTTCACAGAAGGAAACTATAAAAAACTCCGCCAATCCTTTGAAAATCAGTGTCTCTTCTCCACCGAAAGGAATTATAAAAATATATTCCACCGATGCTCTCTCTTAATTGAGATCCATAATCGCAAAATTGAGATCCAAAGTTGAGAAGTGTCGCCTCTTCTTCACCAAACGAAAGTCTCAGAAATACCAAAATTGAGATCGGAAAATTTCTTTGGTGCTGCAATCCCTGTAAATTGGTCTGTATCCTAAATTTATATTTAACTATTATTCCTTCTCCATTTTATCGTGCACATTCAATTCGTATTCTTCTTCAATTTTACCTCAATTAGCTACACATTCCTTAATTGCTTCATTCAGTGTGGCCTTGCATATTTTTCTTAATGGGACAATGAATTTGGGGGGAGGAAATATTATACTCCGTATTTTCTAAGGTGTCACACTAATAATGTAGTTCAAGCTTTAAGCTCCATTTATATATCTGGTAGGAAAAGATAATTGATGAAATCTTTCAAAAATTTGAAGAACTTAATTAATACGGAGTACATTTCAACCAAAATTACCTGAATCAAAATGTTCTTGCTTTGCTAGCTAGATACTCCCTATTATTAGAAGAAAATGGGAGTTGACTGTCTACAAAAAGTCAAAACTAGATAAATATTTAGGGGCAACGTAGTAATACGCAAATAGCTAGCAAAAAATTACTCAACCTGTTTTGACCAAAAACCCGACCCAAAAATTAGATAGTAATACTTTTGACTCATTTACTTTTTCTTCTCGTCTTCACCGACGAAAATTAAAAATAAAATAACGTCTCTTTCAGGAAACTATAAAAAACTCCGCCAATCCTCTGAAAATCAGTGTCTCTTCTCCACCGAAAGGAACTATAAAAATATATTCCACCGATGCTCTCTCTTAATTGAGATCCATAATCGCAAAATTGAGATCCAAAGTTGAGAAGTGTCGCCTCTTTTTCACCAAACGAAAGTCTCAGAATTACCAAAATTGAGATCGGAAAATTTCTTTGGTGCTGCAATCCTTGTAAATTGATCTGTATCCTAAATTTATATTTAATTATTATTCCTTCTCCATTTTATCGTGCACATTCAATTCATATTCTTCTTCAATTTTACCTCAATTAGCTACATATTCCCAAATTGCTTCATTCAGTGTGGTCTTGCATATTTTTCTTTTGGTAAGTTTCAGTATAATGGTTTCGAACCACAAAATAGTTTTAAAGAATGGAGTACCAATCATATGTTATTGATAAGTGTTGATCAAACATCTTGATTGTGTAATAATACAAGTTTAATTGTTGAAGAGTTGCGAAAAAACATCATCGTTGCAACTGTAGTATCAGAAAACAATGGTGGGGATTAAGTTTACATATCCCAAATGTTTTTCGTAACGGCTGATCTTGGACTACCTTTGAATTTTCAAAGTAGAAATTTTTGATATCTTTATGTTTTACTATGACTATCAATAAGTAGAGTCAAGGTTAAACATTGTACTTTATTGGATTTTTTTTACCAAATCAGTATTCACCCATGGCAAAATTGGTGTTGCTATTTTGCGAGTGAAAACAAAAAAATGATTGAAAATATTAGTTTTAAATGACAGCAATAGCCCTTGCAAGTTCACCAAAAATGTGGTATATCCCAAAGTGTTCCAAAAAAGGATTTAAATTATACATTTACATGTTCATTTCCATAGTTATATAAAAGAATTTTCATTAGCAAATGGTTATGTTAATATTGTTCAGTAAATTCTTGAGGTCGCTATTGTATTATGTTGGATTTTTCAACCATTAACTACGAAGAAAAATATTAAGAGTAAAAAGAACTTTCGTTCCATCTGTGCATGACACGACTTAAATTACTAGTTAAATCAAAATAATATTTTGTATTAGATGTTACTGACTATACATTTAAAAATTATTTCAAAAGTTCTACATATATAATAACAAGTGACAAGACTGTTTCGTCGAATGATCAATGAAAAATAGATATAGAAATTAAACATATATTTAGTTTGACGATTTAAACAATAAATGAAAATACTATTTCTGTGAAATCACTATTTCAGTTTAGAAAATGAATAAGTTTCCTCCATGGCAAAGAGATAGCTAGCTAGCTAGATAAGTCTGTGGGTAAACATGCATGAATATATATCTAAAAAAGAAAACAAAAAAATGGGGATAATAATTAGCAATAAATGAGAAAAAGAACCAGAAATAGAAGAGAGAGATGAAGAAAGTAGTGGGGTTGGGGTTGGTCAAAAATAGGAATTGGGGGGAATAACCTGTGCTGTTTTGTATGTATAGGTCATATAGGTGGTCTGTTGTGTTGCAGGGTTGGCTAATACTCAGTAAATTAAAGATGATGATCATAATATGGAAACCCCACAAAAACAAAAACAAAAACAAAAACAAAAACAAAAACAAGAAAACCTCTCCTTAACCGTTACCCATTCTTTCTTTGCTTACATTTCACGTTTCTACGACACCAAATCTCTCCACAAGTAGTGTGTTTATTTATACCTTCTCTCCTCCCCCAAACTCCTCTCTTTATTTTCCCCTTCATCAATCATTCAATTCCCCTTCCCAAACCCCTTTTTCCCCCATTTCTTTCCACCTTTTCCCCACCTTTCTCCACCGCCACAAACCCACCCCCATCATCTCTTTTGTTCATCCTTAATATTTAAAAGAAAAAGAAAAGCAGTGATGGAAAGCTTAGGAAAAGAAGCTGAAGAACAGCAGCAGATGATGGATCTGCCCCCCGGGTTCCGGTTCCACCCCACTGATGAAGAGCTCATCACCCATTATCTCTCAAAGAAGGTTCTTGACAGCTCTTTCTCTGCTTTTGCCATTGGAGAGGTCGACATGAACCGGGTCGAGCCTTGGGATTTACCATGTAATTCAACTTTATTTATAAGATTCCAATTCCTCTTCTTGTTGTTCTTAGCTTCTTTTGATTTCCGTGTCCGATTACGATCGGGCTTATTATATAATTGAATGGAAATTAATTTGTGCTTGTTTGGTTATTATAGGGAAGTCAAGAATTGGGGAAAAGGAGTGGTATTTCTTCTGTGTGAGGGACAAGAAGTACCCAACGGGGCTGAGAACCAACAGAGCCACTGCTTCTGGGTACTGGAAGGCAACAGGGAAAGACAAGGAGATTTTCAGGGGGAAAAGCCTTGTCGGAATGAAGAAAACCCTTGTTTTTTACCAGGGTAGGGCTCCCAAAGGGGAAAAAACAAATTGGGTCTGCCATGAGTACAGACTTGAAGGCAAATTTTCCCTCCGGAGCTTCCCCTCTGATTCTCAGGTTCNCCCCCCCCCCCCCCCCTGTTTTTACTCTGTTTTCCCCTGTTTTTTTTAAACTCTGTTTTCCTCTTGCAGCAGAGTGATTGGGTGATTAGCAGAGTGTTCCACAAAGGCTCCGGTGGGAAAAAAGACGACTTCTCAGGGCTGCTGGACAACAAGTCGGCCGTTATGCCGCCGCTGATGGATTCATCGCCGCTCAGAAGGGTCAACAACAACAACCCCTCCCTGCCGGAATCCGGCGGCCACGTGCACTGCTTCTCCAAAAACCAGCAAGAAGACACAGGGGTGATGAACATGAACTACCTCAACAATCATATGCCTCAATTCCATGTTTCCTCGTCCGCTCCTCTGGTTCCTGATCCAAACGCATTCCCATGGAGCCAAACGGTCCAGAACCAATGCCGGTTCTTGAATTATGGCTCGTTTCCTCTGGTTCAGGAGGACCCTGTGAGCCTGAGCTTCAACAAGACAGAGGAGGAGATTGTGTGCCTGTCTCAAGAGAGCGGTGAAATGAAAGGTGAAACATCTTCTGGTCCACATGAGCTTGACTGCCTCTGGACTTATTAAAAGAAAATTCCCCATTTATTATTATTATGATTATTATGATTATTGACTTATATTATTGTGGTTGTGGTTAGGATAGATTGTTATTATTGTTGTGACAGTGGTTTAATTTTGGTTAAAAGTTTGTTTGTCAAGAGTATTTATTAGTCCATGTTGTAATACCAAACAAAAACAGTATGTATGAGTTTAAACTTTATAGTCTCTCTTGAGTTAGACTGGTTAATTGGTAAGATTAATTTTATGATTATGGTGAGAAAAACATGGTAGAGAAGAACAAGTTGCATGTATGTGAAACCAATCCTATGATGATGGGCTCAATTCATATTGAGGATGAGGTTGTTGAAACTACTGTCTTTGTCCATTGTTTCTGTTACATCATCCAAATTCATAAAATGCTTCTTTAATTTTTTTTATAAAAAAATTTGGGAATTTATTTATTTTTACCTTACAAATTGAACTTTATAAATTTGTTAGGAGTGCCGACTTTTTTTTAGTATCTACCTACATTACTGCCGCTGAAGACATGCTTTGGCTGGTCCATGTCCATTAAATTAAATCATTTTTGACTTTTGACTACAATTGTTTCTAATTTGACTTTTACAAAATTTAATAATAAAAATGTTAAAAAGTAAAATGTATTGTCACCCCAAATAATGTATTATTAGAGAATTTTTAGATAAACAAGAAATCTTTGAGACTGGTATTTAATTAAAAAATAAAAAAAATAAAATGAGTGAAAATTATTTTTTTAAACGTCCAAAAAGAAATCATAAAATGAATATGCTTCTTTGGTATATACGTAGTATATGAGTAATTAATACAATTAATACTCGAGTGACTAACTTCTCTGCTTAAGAAAAAAACAGACATGCCCTAGACAGACATATATCCTGCCTGCAAATTAAATAGGCGTCCCTATCGTTGATTTATAACCTAACAATGAAGAGACAAATTAAATCTTCATATACGGAGTATATATTTATGAACTTTAAGCATTTCGAATTACTAGGTTTTGGCTAAGTTAATTATTATGAGGTCTTAATAACCTTAATTAACAGTCACCTTCTCGTATACATTACGTTTATTAAAAAAAATTTTTTGGGTACATTTATTTATTTATTTATTTATAATTAATGTGATGATGAGGAACAACAAAAAATAAGTATAAAACAACATGCAATGATCGAACGTAAAGGTTGTTCATTATATATGCATGGCGTCAGTTGTCCGGCGGCTAACAAATTGGGGGATTTGTAGCCACCATTTTTTTGCTAATGTATACATGGATCGATGTCACTCTTTCTTTGCTACGTATCTTTTTCTTTCTTTTATTTTTTTTAATGAAAAAAAGAAAAAAGATATAGGGATTATTTTCAACTTGTAGTTGTAGTGGAGGATAGCAATCAATTGGCTGTATTTTTTATTTTGGGTTTTTTGGTATTATATTGTTATCGCATTAGTATTAATATAATTAATTTTATTCTTACGTACAAACATTTGGAGGGGATGGGCATGTAGAGGAATATATGTCTATTTCATCCCACTGCACCACACGAACTAGCTATCTAGGACAATTTAGGTCATATTCTATTTGGAATAAATTCTGATATAATCTGAATACAATTATATTTAAAGCTATTTCTGATCTGATCTAATTTGATCTTCCAAGAAAAATAAGTAATAAATAAATAAAATAAATTGAAGTGAACATGGTCTTATTAAGAAACTAAGAAAAATGATATGAGAGTTACACTATATGAAAGGAATCTTCGGCCCACTTCGTATCTTCATTGAGTAATTTACCTAAATAGGACTAAAACATAATGACTTTCTCAAAATAGGACCATAAGTTTTTATTTCCCAATGTAGGACCATTGGTCATTATCTATTAGTCATTATTCAACTAAATATCCAGCATCACTTGGACATTATTCTTCTCACTAGACATTATTAAGTCCTATTTAGGGAATAAAAAAGTTTAAGTCCTACATTGGAAAATGACTTATGTTTTAGTCCTATTCACTGCAAATTTGACATTTTCACTCTCCGTTGTTCGTTCAACGTTTTCAATGATTTTCTTGTCATTTGTTAAAAATACCATACTTATTTTAATTTAATTTTGTGGCCCAAGAAAGGTTATTTATATTCTAACACGCTCTCTCACGTGCATGCGTATTCTTTTTTAGCCTTGCACGTGAAACCTTAAATTTTTTAAAACTGGATGGCGTTGAGTATCGAACTCGTGACTACTTGGTCATCAAGGCTCTGATGCCATATCAAAGAACCAATTCAACCAAAAGCTCAAGCTTGTGGTTGTAGTCCAAAAAACGTTATTTATATTCTAACAACACGAATGACTTACAAATTCATTGAAGATACTTAATTATTTGATATTTTAAATTCATTTCTTAAAAATGGATGGTAAGTAAAAGATCTATTAAGTAATGCCTTGTTTGAGAACATTGCTTCCAAATAGATTTATCATTTTGAATAATTTTTTAATGATATATATAATTGATCGAAAGAAATTTTACATGATTTATTTAATTATTTATTAATTAGTATGAATAGTTATTGGAGTATTTATTAGTTAGTATTATATTATAATTAGAGTTAGAAATTATATTATTATTAGGTTAGAGTTTCTTCTTCTATTTTAGATAACAATAAGAGATGTAACCCATTAGAATCATCAATTAAGAAAATCTCGACCAAAAGTTCCCTTTCTCTCTTTTTCATTAGGAGTCTAGAAACGTTCGAATTTTTTCATCTTTAATTTCTCTTTTCCTTCTTATAGCTATCTTGAAGATGCTCAAAGTTCTTATACATTTGGTACGATATTTGTATCAATAACGTACATAATACGGGAGCAATAAACATACACGATACTTTGGTCAACGGGCTGTGTATATGTATTTGACGTACTATTTGACCATTTTTGCCCTCATACATTCTTACACGTGCATATAAAACAAATACCATTCTCATGCTGTGGAGAATTTATGTCCAAGTTTTTTATTTTCAGATTATTATAGTTTTGGCATGCAACACCAAATGAGAATGTAATTGCCAATAATTTTATAATTATCATCAATTAAATAATATCCTTTAAAAAGCAGAAATAAAGTGGACACGTAGGTCTATACGATACGGAGTATTTGTTTGATGAGTGGGAAATGGAACCGTATGATTGTGTATTCTGATCGTATTTCGCCTCCGCACATACAAAAAATGTGACAGATTAAATAATTATTTAAATATAATCATTATATTCAAAATAAATATACAAAAAAATAAAATTCTAACACGGAAATCATAGTTGTATTTATTTCATGCTCACATTAAACCTTGTGCTTAATGCTTACTTTTCGACTCTGTATATAATATAACTCGTGTTAAATCGTAGTACTATCACGTGAAATTCGTGTTTATATATGTCAATTTTAGTGTCACATAAAAAAAAGGAGTTCTAGACTCATATAAAAAATTAAATAGAGAAATAAGGAAATGAATTAATTAATAATACTCTATTTCCTAATAGGTTTGATGTTGTGTAAAATATTTATATATTTACTGTTCTCCGTATTTATTAAAAATAAAAAATACGGAGGATATGTAAGTAATACTCCGTAATATTTGGCACTAAAGAAAATACTTTGTATAAAGCTAAAAATAATACGTATGAATACGGTGCAGGTAAGGATTTTATGGGAAAGAAACGTATGTAGTGTGTTAAGGATAATGGGAAATGAGGGAAGCCAGCTCATCTATTATTATTGCATTTCATCAAAAAAAAAAAAATTCTATTGAAGGAATAATTATCTTTTGTTTTCCAAAGTGTCAAAAAGAAATATCCTTCCCATTTTTGTATGGAAAATATTTCGTGTGACCAAACCTTTTATCCCACGTGTTCCATTGAATGTGATTAATTATTATTTTGAATCACTAAATAAATAAGCTTTCATTTGTCTATATGCTCATTCTTACCACACACTCAATCCATGCTAATTACTCCCTCCGTCCCCCATAAATCTTCTAAATAGTCCTTTTTTTTGTCCACGATAGATCTTCTCATTTCATTTTTCAACAATTAAAATATCACAATTCAACTACCCCCACTTACTTTATTTATTACACATCACTCACTTCATTTAATACACTTCACCCATTTTCATTAAGGGTATTATAGTAAACTTTCACTTTTTTTCAACTCTCCTTAAAAATCACAAAAAGTCAAAATGAGAAGATCATAGTAGGATGAAAGGAGTATATATATACTCTCTCCTATCCAACAACATTTCTATTCACCATTTACTATTAAAATTATTTTTAATTTTAATTAATTAAAATTTAAATAATATTTTTAAAAAAAATTAAAATTTTATTTTTAAAACAAAAATTAACCATCAATTTATTTCAAAATCGATGTAAAATTAAAAAACCAAATTTATATATAAGATTACATTAGCGAAAATAGGCAACAATTAAAAACAAGATATAGTTTGACATTATGCATTTTAGAAGGAGGGAAGAAGTGTTTTATTTTTTATGAGTGAATTATTAATCTTGCTTTTTTGGATCCGTTAATGTTTTGAAAATGAGAACCGAGGTCGACCGGGCTGGCGAGTGGCCGAGTCAAGGGTTATGTTGAACATGCATTCTTTTCATTTAATTTCATTTTGTATTACGAGTACAATACTTATTTTTAGTTGTGCAATAGAAAATATTTTATTATTATTTGTTTCACAAATGCTATATATTCTGTAAATAAAAAACATAAATATTTAAAATAAGTACTAGATAAAAGAATTGAAATATAAAAACAGAGAAATCTATGTCGAAAAAATAAATTTTATATATTTTTTTAAAAGATACTCCGTATAATACAATTTGAGTAAAAGAAAGATAAATATTAAAATAAAAAATAAAAGTATAATCATTACAGTGGAAGTAAGACACTGCGACTATGTGAGTGTGGAGTAAGTGAAATGATGAGTGCAGTCAACACTAATAACACTAATGTATCATTGAATGACTGCTGGTTTAGATTTCTGATTGTCCCGATTCAACCTTGGACTTTCCTAGCAAGAAGCCAAATTTCTTCTTTATATACACAGAGAAAAAACAAGTCTTGTATATCTTGTGTATATAATAGATATGCTTATTGCTAAATCCACTCTATATTTCGCTATATTCACTCTTTTTTGTGTTAAATGAACAAGTTTATCCTTAATGTTTGAGATAAAGAAAGAAAGAAGTGAATGACAAAGGTGTCCATTTCTTATAAAATGTAGTGGACTTAGGCAATTATGGGATGGATTTAGCATTACCCATACAATAAATATCTGGATGTAAAATATACTCCTCTCAAAACAAATATTACAATTCACTATTCAAAATTCACAGAATTTTTTATTTATTTGTGCATTTTCATTGATTGATAAAATAAAACATTTGATCTTGTCACCTTTTGTTTCAAAAAACTTTTAACATAATTTTTAAACATGTAAATTTTATTTTATATTTCTGTACCAATGTTTAAATAAAACAATTTGAAAAAAATTAAAATGTGTTTTGTTTTGCATAATGAGATAAACATTTTTAAAGGAAGGGAGTATCAACATAGAAGTAAGAGACTGATATGACCCTACTTGATTAAGTGGTGTCCTTGTAGAGCTTGAGGCCATTGACTTCATCTTCACAGGGCCTAACGGTAAGGAACATGCGCCATTGTGACATGGGTAGGAGGAAGGTGGAAGCAAGGCTCCATGGAACCCACCCGTCCACACGGCGGGTCCGGGGCCGCGGTCTGATTCTTCGGCCGGTACATGACCCAGGGCTCCAATCCTCCAAGACACTGAGCCACGTACCCGAAAGTCGACCGCCCGCTGGTGACCAACGTGTCACTCATCCCAATAAGGTAAATTTCCGCCAACGCCCTTACGTAGTGCAACAAATCACTCATCTTCTGATGCTCCTCCTGGCTCGGCTCGTGTACCCGGACCACCTCCCCAGTCTCCGTCGGATACAATGTGTACATTAACCGGATCCGGTCCGCGTACCCGGAGACCAACGATGTCACCAGGACCACCTTGGTCTTGTTCTTTTGGTCCCGGGCATTGGATCCGTCCGGAAGGTAATCATCTTCATTGATCCGTGGGAGTATATTCCCTGTTGAAATGCATGCCATAATCTGGTTTAGAATGTGTTGCTGAGGCTGTAGCCAGCCCTCAAACTCTCTGATCTGGATTCCAATCTTCTCGTCGGCTCCGGCCAAGTAAGCTCTGTGGTATCTGGTGATCATACCCCACACTAGATCTGTGGGATGAAACAAGTACCTATTATATATAAATATATTCAGAAATGTCATGTCAAGCTTGTTGTTGAGTTGCTTCCTTAACATGGTATCAACGCTTTGCTGACATGGAATACAAGGTTTTCTGAAACATACCGTCCAAGGAGGTGGAACACGGCGTCCTTGTCTGGGAACATGTTCCCAAGTTCTTTGCTGAAAGATTGCATCATGAAAAGAGAGGGGATGAAGTACTCGTCGGACGACATGAACAGCCACGGTACTTTGTTCAAGAATGTCTGCTCTTGGCCTTCAAGGAAGAAGGTTTCGTCGTATCGATCCATGTCGTAGATCAGATTCAGATACACAAAGGGGGGAATTCGCGAAGACCTTTTAGTGAGATGGTTTTTGACCATATATCCGTGGCAATGAGAAGAGCTCTTGTTGAGCACTCCCAGGTAATGAACAAGGGGAAAATCTTGCGGCAGGAACCAAGAGGTTCCAGGGAAGGGGTCACAGAACAGATCCGGAGTGTGGTCGCGAAAATCCACCATGAGGACTCGATTGGTGAGAAGGGAGTACAGGAATGCAGAGGCCATTGTCAGCATCCTGTTCCCCAGCCCGGCGAAAGGTGACCAAAGGACATACCTGCACTCGGTGGGAGCTGATGGCGACGACTCTATGAGTTTCACGGTTCGGTTATAGGATTCGGTGTGGGGCCCACATCGCCTGTGGAGAGCTTCGTAGCTTCTGAGCTTGGAGAGAAGATGTGGAGAAGGCGGACGCTTTAGCCCTTTCAAGTAATGAACTGATTGATGCCTACTTTGGCACGATCCCTCTTCGAACCCCGGAGGCAGAAGCCCCCCGAGTAGATCTTTTGGTTCTTCTTCTTCTTCTCCCAAGTCTGGACAACAACAAAACAATGTAATAATGAAAACAACATATAATGCACTGAACTAATCATGAGCCATAGCAAGAAATAATCTAAATGGCCGAGATATTTACCGAAAAATTGCTTCTCTTTCAGGCGCGAGAAGACAGAAAGCAGAACCGTTAGGTTGAGCAACAGAGCAACCAGAATGGACCATGACAGCAGACAGTGTTTGGTTCTGCTTTTATCTTTCTTCATTGTTCAACAAAAATATTGCTCTTTTTTTTTCTTTTTTTATTAACTTTAAACAATTCTCTTCTAGGAATAATTTATGGAAGTTTACCGAGAACTATTACCAAATATAAATGAATCACTCCATGTTATGTTTTGGCAAGTATGTGCAATGCATTGAATTTATTACTCTGTATAGCAGAGATATAATAGGGAGTGGTAATAATTATGGGTTTGGGTGAATTTAAATCCTAATAAGGCTCAGCGTATTCTATGTCATTAACTTTTTCCCACATTATACGCAATTCAATCATAGACTTTTTATAGCTTTCTGTCATCAATTTCAAAGTCCACCATAATGAGTTGTTTTGTGAGATTAGTGATTACCAAAGTCTCTGGATCATGTTTTACATTCTTTATAAATTTACAACAACAACAAAAAAGTCACACAAAATAAAAATTGTACACACGTACGATCCCACCTTATAAAATTGTGATATTCCAATCCAAAATCAATTAGCTATGAGGTGAGTAAGTCAAATTCTTATATACGGAGTATGTCTTTTTTTTAGCTTAAGTGTTCGATGTGACACAGAGGTTCGAACTCATAACCTCTGAGTCAACAAAGCTTTGAATCCCTTAGAAACCATGTCAACGAACCGACTCAGTCAAGAAAAGTTTTACACTCTAACACACCTTGATTACAGAGGAATATGGAGTCCCGTCTTAATTGAGCTCCTTCCGGGAATCCTTCTTTGCCTCATATCATTTCTAAGTCTGGCTTTCTCCTCCCACATGCCTTTAGCAGCACATATATTAGACAGCATAACATGATCCCCAGCAAGTGCCTCTCCCATCTCAACCAGCTTACCATGAGCCATGGCTGCCAGCTTGGCATCTCCATGAATGCCGCACGATCCCAGCAGGGTTCTCCATATTACCGCACTCGGAGGAATGGGCATTTCCATAATGAAACAATAAGCTTCTTTTACCATCCCGTTTCTGCAAAGCAAATCCACCATACACCCATAGTGGGAGACTCTTGGCTTTATGCAATAGTCTTTGACCATGGTCCTGAAGTACCTCTTGCCTTCTGCCACCCTTCCTGTGTGGCTACATGCCATTAAAACTCCTATGAATGTAACATCGTTGGGAGGGACTGTTATGCCTTCGGCCCTGTGGCTCTTATTATGTTCTTCCATTGATGCGAAAATCCTCAGTGCTTCTTCTGCTTGGCCATGGAATGCAAGTCCAAGAATCATGGAAGTCCATGTCGCGACATCCTTTTTCCGCATTCCATGGAACAGTGTCTTGGCTGTACTTAGGTCCCCGCACTTTGCGTACATGTTTAAGAGTGCGGTCTCCAAGGGCAAATCTGTACCCTTCCTGTATTTTTTAAGAATGTCAGCATGAATCTGCTCTCCCACATCCAGTGCCCCGGCATCAGCACAAGCAGTTAGAACGGCAGTGAGAATGATGGGATCGGCACTGACATTTGACCTCAGCATTTGCCAGAATGCCTCTATAGCTCTGTTGGGTTTCTGATTATGAGCAAAAGCAGTCACTAATGAAGTCCAGCATACAACATTCTTACTGGGTATTTCATCGAACACCTTACGTGCACCTCTAAGATTGGCACTAGCAGAGTACATGTCCGTGAGTGATGTTTGGAGAAAAATTATGGGCTCAAAACCCAGTTTGACTACAAACGCATGGAATTGTTTTCCTTCAAGAAACAGAGATTTCTGGGTGCAAGATTTGATGACATACAGAAGAGAGTAGCTGTCTATGCAAGAAACCTTTTTTCTCAGAAGCTCACGGAAAAGCAACACCGCTTTGGTGGGATTAGTTTTGAGATAGTTTTTGAGATCGAGATTAGCTCTTGCAGGTTTAAGGTTGGTAAAGTTTGTCACCCGTTTACCAGTGAATGGCTTCAAGAATCTGCTCATTTGGTCAATATAATCTTCTTATCAGGCGAAGACAAGAGAAGAAGTATAGATACGGAGTAGTTATCATTTTGCAAAAGAAAAAACCACTCATAAATTCTGAGAATAGGGCTCGTTTGGCAGAGGCAAAAATTTGTTCTTGCTTCTCAACAAGGAATAACGGTTGTCAATTTGTCCTATCCATCTCAACCAAGTGAAATTTGCACTAAATAGGACTAACACATAATGACTTTTTTAATGTAAGACTTAAACTTTTTTATTCCCTAAATAGGACTAAATAATGACATAGTGAGAAGAATAATGTCCTACATTGAGAAATAAAAACATATAGTCCTATATTGGGAAAGTCATTATGTTTTAGTCCTATCTAGGTAAATTTCTCTTTAACCAAATGACAAGAAGGAACTATTATATTTTGCTTCAAGAACCAATTATTCATTGGTCAAACTAATTTCACTTTCTTTTTAAAGATAAAATAAAATGATCATGTCACCGCTCGTCTTGTAGAATTTTTTATGAAGGTTTTTAATATATAATTTTTATTTTTTAATTCTACACTAATTTCTACTTATATGTATTTGAAAAAGAAACAACTTTGTTGGGAAAGAAACGAAAACCTGAGAAAAAAATGTGATTGGGGCATTTAAAAAAAGAGGCATTTTTTTACAAATAAAGAGTTTAGTGTCATTTGATTTTTTTATTTTAACCTGCACTAAGAGATTTAAAAAGCAATGTCATTTTTTAACTTCACTCAACTTACTCCCCTCCCTAACAAGTCAATATTACCCTGTGATATTATACACTCCATAACTTACTTCCCCCTTTCACAATTAAACATTTAAAGAATCATTGTGACTTTTATGAAAAACCAAAAATTATATGACAATATTCATTCAACATGGCCGTACTTGTATAAGACTTGGTGAACAGTAGACAGAAACAATGAACAAATAATCACTGCATTTCCTCCTAACCTCACACATTGAGAAAAAAACAGGACAGGCCAGAAACTATTCGGATAAAAGAGAGTTCAAAATGTCAGATTGTAACTTAGCTTGCCCAGTGATCTCATCAAGCATTTCATAAACCAGAGAGGCATGTTTGTGAGTTGTGTCCCCGGCCAGAAAATCATGGTCGGTTCCATCGACACGGATCCTACTTTGACCCGGAGGCTTCCTCGCTCCTATCTCGTACATCTTGCGTCTCGCGCTAACCATGGCTAGCCACCTCTTTTCAGCGGCATAAAGATTGGACAATAGCACAAAGTAGCCAATGGATCTTTCTGGTTCAAGCTCGACGACGAAATTGTGTTCCATCCCAGAAGCAAGCTTTATGTTTTTGTGAATAATGCAGCCACTTAGAAGAGCACCCCATACAGCATTGTTTGGCTTCATAGGCATGCTCTGGACTAGTCTCCCTGCTTCATCTAGCAGTCCAGCTCGGCTAAGGAGATCAACCATGCAGCCATAGTGCTGTATTCTCGGCTCCAACCCGAAACATTCGATCATTCTTTTGAAGTAGAATCTCCCCTCATTGACATAACCGGCACGACTACACGCACACAATACGCCCAAGAATGTGATCTCATCCTTCTTGGCCTTTGCGGTTTCCATCTCCCGGAACACCGTGATGCTCTCTTCTGCATAGCCCTGTTTGGCAAAAGCAGTTATCATGGTATTCCAAGAAACAGTGGTTCTCTCTGGCATATCCTTGAATACCCTATGAGCATCCCTGATTTCACCACAGCAAGCGTACATGTGTATGAGCGCATTGTTCAGTGATATCAACACTGGTCCCCTTTCAGGAGTTGTGGATTCAAGAATGTATGAATGTACCCATCTGCCCAGATTGAAGAAAGCCATTTCTGCACAAGTGGAGAGAATGGACACCAATGTCACCCGGTCAAATTCCACGCCATTCCTTCGCATTTCGTGGAAAAAATGCAATGCTTCTTTGCATCTCTCATTCTGCGCGCACCCTGCTATCAATGCAGTCCATGAAACAACATTCCTCTCGGGCATTTCATGGAAAATCCGGCACGCCTCGCTGACATTCCCACACCTGAAATACCCTGAGATCAATGAATTCCAAGACACCACATTTCTCTCAGTCATTTCTCCGAACACCTTATACGCACCAACCATTCCACGTTCAGTGCCCATGGCAGAATAGAAGTTCACCAAATTCGTTTGTACGAACAGATCAGAGACATACCCATTCCTCAAGATCTTGCCGTGAACCTGCTCGCCTTCACTCAGCAGAGCCCCTTTCCCACAACCATTAACCACATACGAATATGTATACCCATCAGGTAAAGCAGTGGACTTTTCCATTTTCTTGAAATACAGAACGGATAATCGCGGCTCGTCGCTACTGGCATGGCCTCTGATGATTTGATTCCAGAGAATGGTGCTTGGGTCTCGAACCAATTCGAAAACTTGGGTTGCATAGGGCAACCTTTGGAAGATGATGCAGATCGATAGAAGCTTGCCAAGAATGAAGTTCTTCTGGGTTAGCCCGCCGGTGATGATTTGAGCGTGAATCTGGGTAAGCTGTTTGATGGTTTTGCAGGCGTGTAAGAGAGAAAAGAGACGTTGTTGGCGCGCTCTTAAGCCACCGTGTGTGGCGGCAATTGATTGTTCAACGAACATAGGTGAGTCAAATTGCATAACTCAGGTAAATCTTCTTTTCAATTTTCACTACATAACTTCCTATTATAACAACAAACATATACTCGTAACATCTAATTTATGTAGTGACAAATGTGAAAAACTTGTTATTGTATTTATTAGAAAATGAAGAAGAACAATTGACAATTCACCACAATTATAATGAAGTAGAACAATTACAATTTACCACTCACCACAATTAGGGTATGTTTGGTTGGAGGTAGGTAAAAGTTTTATTAGGTAGGTAATGGTAGGTAATTGAAGGTAGGTAATTGAAGGTAGGTAAAGTAAGGTAATGAATTAAAAAATTGTGTTTGGATGTTTATTAGATAACCTGAGGTAGGAAAAGAATAAAATTACTAAAATATCCTTATGATTGAAAAAGAAAGTGAACCAAAGCTTGAACTAACAATTGAGCATAAACTAGAAATTGAAAGCAAAATTGAAGGTCTGTCCAGTGTCCAGAACGAAAGTTGTGAAGTAAGCAAAATTGAAGGAAACAAAAAACAGGAAAAAAAGATTGAAATGAAAACTAAAAAAATTGACACAAAAAAC